CAAGGCGATCAAACCAGTCAGTCCTAGAGGAGATCAACCCTGACTGCTCTTTAGAAGGCCAGATCCTGAAGTTGAAACTCAAGTACTTTGGCCACCTAATGAGAAGGAAGGACTCACTGGAGAAGAGCCTAATGCTGGGAAAGATTGAGGGCAATAGAAGAAGGGGACGACAGAGAATGAGGTGGCTGGATGGAGTCACGTAAGCAATAGGCGTGAGCTTAAATGGACTCCAGAAGATGGTAGAGGACAGGAAGACCTGGAGGAACGTTGTCCATGGGGTCGCAATGGGTCGGACATGACTTCTCAGCTAACAACAACAACATTGATATGACTGTATTCTGTCAAATTGGTGCTGACTCATAACCAACCACATAGATCTTCTGGGGAATGTCTTTTTTGCAACCTGTCTCTTCAGGTTTTCTAGTGACTCAGCCATCACCACACTCTACTTCAATCCATCAACCTTGCTGCTGGTTGTCCTCTTTTTCTCTTTCTTTCCATTGTTTCCAGCATTACAGATTTTCTCTAGAGAGCCGGTCTTTGCATAATGTAATTCAAATACAATAATTTTGCCATGAGTGAGAACTATGGATTGATTTGTTTTATCATTCATTACTTTACTTTCTTGGCTATCCATGGTAATCTCCAGAGTCTTCTCCAACATCAGAGGCATCAATATTCTATCCTCCTCCTTCAAAGATCAACTTTTGCTTCCATAAAATATTACAAAGAAAACAATTCCCTGCATGATTCTGGCATACCCAAGCCTCTGAATATTTTTTTTCTCAAGGACTTCATTGCTACCCAACTACTGGTAAATCCTAGCCTGCAGCATATTTCTGGATGCTTCCTTAATGGATACTAAAAGGCAGAAGCTATCCACCACTTCACTATCTTCACTGTCAGAGCTAAAGCTGATTGCTGTACCTGTTGTCATTTGTTTTGCTTAAAATTTAGGCTTAATTTTTCCTCCTGCTCTTTCTGATTTTCATTACCAGAGATTCCAAATCGTGTGCATTTTCAGTTAACAGAGCAGTATCGATCACATAGTGCAGGTCACTGATGTGTCTTTATCCAAAATAATTTTCCAGTCCAGCCTCCCTCGATATATATTCAGCATAAAGATTGAATGATTTAAGGAATGACTATTGAGTCTTGTCTTACTCCTTTGCCAGCCTGGAACTGGTCTGTTTTACCACATTTTGTCTGGTCAGTGGTTTCCTGTCTTGTGTACAGTTTTCCCACAAGAACATTCTGAGATTCCCATTTTTCTCAGGACATTCCATAATTTAACATGGTTGACACAACTGAAGGCCTTTCAATAATCAAAGAAAGCACAGGCTGACTTCTTGTTGGTATTTGTGGCTTTCTCAATTATCCAGCGTGCTTTAGTGATAATGTCTCTTGTTCTTTGGCTTTTTCTACAATGAGAACTTCTGGCATAAATATTTCCACGTTGAGCTCTAATTTGCACCAAATGATTCTAAGCATTATTTTGCTACTTATTTTTTTTCAACTGTATGTGTTTGAGGCTACAATTTTGTCTGATAAAAGTTTTCCAAATAATTTCTTAACATACCTAGTAAGGATAAAGGATGGCCGTCT